ACCAGATAGATTATAAACAGTTATCTGCATTTTCATACACTGTAACATTTAGTAATCACACATAAACCAGGACCTACAATAATCTTTAAGAGGTAGAAAAGCTTCTGTGTTATGCCACTATGTAGCAAGTATTATTTTAGTGACATGTCCATACAAGAACCAAGGCAAAATTGCCATGGACACAAACTTCGTCTCTCCTTACGCCCATTTCAAGTTTTCCACTTTATCCCACAGGAGTTCTTAGCCAATACATATTTGTTAATGTGCACTGAGCTTACGTTACAATCATTACTAACTGTCATGTTCCCAAAAGCTCCCTTGTTTACTGCTGCCTTCTTCCAAGTGAAGCAAAGAACCTGTAGTTTTAATGCACTGGTAGTCCCCTGTCATGATTTTCACCTCTTACACATCAAGTCTAAAACTACAAAGAATTTAAGCTAAAAAAAAAAAATCACGTAGCATCAACAACTGTTAAATTATGCATTATCTTCATATGTACGTCAGAATCTCTCAGCTGTGCAAACTGGGTTACAGACATAAAGACGACCATCGTGTTGGGAGGGACGGGGGGTGATGCTGTTATTGTGCCAGACCAGATGGCAGATTTCAAATTTATCTGCAACCTCCTCACTGAGTACATGCAGGACAGTAACAATGACTGTCCATGAATGGACCCTTTCACCGATCAGGCAGAACTAGCTACATGAGCTTGATCACCACAGTTCTCTATTCTCTCCCCACTACCTTCTTCTACTGCTCTAGCACAGCCCACGGAAAATAGAGACAATTTCCTGGCATCAGAGGGACCGAAAGAAGAAGGAAAAAGATAACATGGGCGGGTGGAGGGGACAAGTTAGTCATAGCCATCATTTCCCCTACCTTTAACTCATGCTATTACATCACTCATTCGGTCTACATTCAAGTAAAGTATCCCACATGCAGAAACCAAGATATAAAGAGTATGCCACTCATTACACAGCTAAAAGCACAGAAGACAAAATGTAACCTACCAATTCAAGGAAGAATACTGTTCAAGCAACGATCTGGGAAATAATTTTTGAATTATTTGTGAAAGACAAATTTCAATTTAGCAAAAATTACAGTGGGTTGGAGTGGGGTAGAAACAACTTGTCTTATTCAGCAATGCTTAGAGGAGACTGAAGACAAGAACATAAGTGCAGACCGACAACACTTAGTACCACCAAGACAGGATCTCAAGACTTCAACGCAATAGTCTTTGAAGACATTAATGTTCACGTGTCCAAAGAGATAGTGTAAGAAGTGTTATGAAAGGAAGAAAATTAAACCAATCATGATGACAACTAATAAAACCATGATTTTAGACAACTCAAGGAATTCCAGTCAACTCTCCTGAAAGTGGCATAGAGACAAATTCAGAATGAGTACAAGGATGGTCCTGGCCAACAGGACCACCAAGAGTTATCATCTGTCATGGTGCTGATATATCTTCAAACCCAGGAAGTTCCTACAGCACACAGACTGCTAAGAGGAAGAGGAAGACAATGACACTGAGGTGCCTGTCCACTTGCTCAGGCAAAAAGATTTGAATAATCCACTGCCACCCAACGGGTGTACTCCTGCTCTCCCTTCCAGCTTCCAGTTCTTGGCTACAATCCCCCTACTGCGCATCAGCACACAGACTCCTCTGAGCCTATGCAATTCGCCCAAATAATACAGAATGAGCCCCAGAACAAAAGCGTTAAGTTTTGGTGTGTTGAGTACCAGTCAGTGCCAAAGTTGGGTCAAGGGAGGAGATCACAGAATCATTAAGGTTGGAAAAGACTTTTAAGATCATCAAGTCCAACTGCTAACCCAACAAATGTAGACAAACAATATAAATAAGAGCTTTGGGGAGGGAAGGAAGGAAGGAAGGATGGAAGGAAGGAAGAGAGGAAAGGGAAGTCATATCCTCCCATTTTTGGTGGTTGTGGAATTGCAACCTCTTTCCATGAGATTTGCCACTATTATCAGTCAGAAAATGTACTAGACTATACATACCTTCAGTGGGCCAGCGCATGGCAGTTCTTTTACAGGATTTCCCTACGCTTCCAGGTCAGAGCGCTCTTAAACACACAGCAGAATGATTTTTTAAGATAGAATACTGAAGTTAATAACTGCAAAGCTTCATTTCCTTTTTCAGACAAGCATTTCCTCCTATCAAAAGTGCCTTCCATTTTACTTCATTTTATTGGAATCACAAGAGGAAGAACATAACATTAAGCTGCGGAAAAAAGGATGACTTTTTATACTGCCTGGAGAGGACAGAAAGGATCGGTCAAAAGGGTAGAGCTGCCAAGTCACTGACCTCTTTTGTAAGAGCCATAGCGGCAAAGAAAAATTTTAAAGGTCAGCTTAACTACAGACAGTCTCAAGGAAGAAAGGCCAAAAGAAAAGACCTAACCTGAAGCACTATGTGAAAATAACAAATCTCAAAACAGATCTGCTATTGCCATGAAGTAATAGCCTCTCCCACTTTCTGCATAAAAAACAGGGTTTTTTTCTTACATGGGCACTAGGTCTTCTTCAAAGCCTACTTCCTCAGAGGGGTGTCCTCTATTAGATAAACAGCAGCATTGAGTCAACTGTGTGGGTGGGTGGGTAGAATTCTGCCCCACTAGGAAAAGGTATTTTGGTTCACAACCTAGCCACGAAGATTAATAAACCCCTAAACAGTAGTTTTCAGGCACTAAATCAATGAAAAAGGAAATAAACTCCTTGGTTGGTACCCAATGATTCTACCAAAAAATCCTTGGGTTTCTGCCCATTTATAAGGTGAATTTAATTTAAAAACTACTACCATCTGTCACAAACTCCAAACAAATGTGATTTTCCCTTTTTCCATTCACCAGTGGTGAGGAAAAAAAAAAGCTCCTTCAAAGTAAAAAGTCCCATCCCTTAACAGTTTTAATACTGAGTATTTGAATACCAATTCTGTAAACTTGGGGAAAATTTCTGAGTTGACCACCTTCCTCAGGCGACTGAACTTAAAAAGAACAGAGTAAAAACAAAGCAGTATTGTTAATGAGCGTAGAGGTTTTTGGTCTCAAGAGGTGAGCGGAATTTGGTTCTCAAATTACCAATGCTTTCTGGTTACTTCCTTCAAAGGAATCATTCTTATCAACTTATCTGGGCAGAGAAACAATAGCCACATTCTTATGAGAAGCAATCACCAGGTTTATAAAGGCATCTCTCACACGTCTTTGTTAAGAAAAGCTTTTGGGGGTGATTTTGAGCCTTGCAGTCAGCGGCTAAGAGCTCAGAAAACAACTGAAAGAGCAACTGCAACACTTGCAGCAATACAGATTAGCTTCCTGGGAAGATAAAGCAACTTCTTGGCCTCTGTCTCTTGATTCACCAACATCAAGTCACTGAAGTGCAGCAGGTGGTCTGTTGATTACTCATGCCATGCAAAGAATTAAAAAATCTGTGAGACAAGAAGGGCAATCTTACTGATGCCTCGAGCGTATCACTCCTGAAGTAAGAGAGGCTGAGATGTAGAGGGAGACCTGCAAAATTAACTGCGGAAAACATCCTGCTTTTTTAAAAACTAAGAAATGCAAAATTGAAGTTTTTCTTGTGCTATGCAAGTTACAGAACTGATTAATTCAAGTAAATCATCTTTTTATCCTGAGCAAAGACAAAAATGCAATATTGCCTAACTTACTACACAAAAAGAGATCTCAGCATGAATAACAGTCAGATATAAAAAAAAAAATAAGGCTTGTCATACCACAGAAAGAAAATGACTGACAAACAAACAACAGTATAATCAATGATTGTCATAGGCTGGCTCCAACACTTAGGCCTACAGCAATAATGCAAAGGTTTGCATTTTAACCTTCCAAAGAGAAAAGGACACATTTCTATCTACCTCTGTTTTGCTTCACTCAATATGAATGTCCAATAAAAATATAATGAACACCAACTTTTTATACAAAAAGAAAGTTTAGGTAAACTGTCACTCACTCATTTCTCAGCATTTCAAATAAAGATTTAAATCTAAGTGTGACCTTGATGAGTTGATCATTAGACTGACATCTTTACATCATTCACTCTTCACATCAGATGAACCTCTACTGCAGATGGGTAGAGGCATGCTTTCAGCACAGCTCATTCAAATTAGTGTTAATTATTTATTTGAATAAATTCAGCTTGTTCCAATTTTCTCCCGTGAAACAGAACATGCATATTAGTACAACTGACTTTTGAACAGGCCAGATTTCTGTTTCAGAGAAGAAACTAGAAGCTGTCTTGTAGAAATAAGTTCTCTGAATTCACGAGAACATTGTCCCCATTTCCTCACACAAGTCACCAGCACTTTCAATGTTCCCCAAACTGGCTGTGTTTTTACTGAGAAGTTTCCTCTCCAATTAAGCAATGCTGAGGCACCAAAATCCCAGCTGAACACCTGCTATTGCTGTATCCCAGCCCAGTTGTTTCTCCTGTGCTATGCATCGCTTCAAAGAGTTCTCCCCATCATAGGTTAAACAAGAATATTAAGTAGCAGCAAATTAATGGTACAGTATAGCTCCATATAGGCACTTATAAATTGCTCCATGTATTTCAGGTATTAAGTGTACTGTAACAGGAATGTAGTCCTGTCAGTTGTACTTCCTTTTTTCCACAGCTGTACACTCCTCAAACTTCAGTTAAAAGCAGTATGTGAGATTTACTTAGAATAAAAATATTAACTATAAAACATTAAAATCCATGACTGGCTTAGGAGGAGGAGGAGATGGAGAAAGACCTTAAAAAAAGGAAGTACACATTCACTAAAAAGATTCCTTGCAGACAGAAACAACAGAGAAAGAAATAGCCACAGCACGTGCAGTCCATGCAAAAGCAATCTTAATCTTTAATCAACCCCACTGCACTGAAGACATTTAGCTAGGAGTGTCAGCAGGGGGGGGGGGGGGGGGGGGGGGGGGGATATAAAAGGCGGGGGCGGGCGGAATATAAAAAAAACCCAACCCAAACCAAAATTAATTACACTACCTCAGTGATTGGTTGCCCTTGTGATGTCAAGTCCAGTTCCTGAGGTCTTGTCACCTTATCGATATCCAAGGAGTCCATGCTGGAAGCTGCAGAGGTTACGCTGGAACGGGAGGAGTTACTGATTGAGCGTACCTCAGCATCACTCACTGTGCCAGCAGATGCCGTCCTCCTGTGCTGAGCAGTAACTACTGGTTTGGTGTCTTCTGCAACAGACTGTTGGGCTGCCTCATCCATGCTCAGAGAGGCCTTCTCTAACTGTGCAGTGATGTCATCCAAAGATACGTTGGCATGTGATGGTTTAGTCACCTTACCAGATGAGGAGAATCCTTTCATGCTGCCATGCTTAGTAGAAGGTCGGCTAGCAGGTGGTTTCTGAGCTTTGGATTCTGTGGCAAGGCGTTTCACTGCAGAATTGTTTGCTGAATGAGAACCAATGCTGCTGAGCTCCTGCTCGATGGAACAGAGATCAGCCATGAGGGCATCTAGATCCACAGTCTCCCCCTGATTCAGGGCTTCTGCAACAAGAGTTTTCAGTACATGCAGAGTTACTTCATTTGTCTGTACACTTTGTGTTACCAAATTTAACAGTTAGGGTAAGGGAGCAAAGGAAGCTGTATTTTTTTTTTCCCACCTGTATTGCAAAATCCCTGCTCACTGATAAGCAGAAATTTATTTGCACCACTACTCTTGACCAGTCTAAGAGCAATTAAAAAAAACAAACCCCAAACTATTTAGGTCAAATACATTTGCTGACAGAAGAAATCTATGAATGTTCAGATTACATTTGAAAATGTAAAAATACATTTTTATAGTATCATGCCTCTGCTTTTCAAAAAAGTGTAGGTGTTTTGCTAAGTATTTTCTGCTAAAGCAATGCAAGACACGTGACACTGCTTTCAAAAAAACCCCCACAAAATACTATACACATATTCATGCCTTTAAATTAAGATTTCCTGTATTAAGTGGAAGCTATTTTAAGACGAGGAAAAACATTATTTTTCTTTAACATCAAAGCATTCTCTAGCTGTATTCTTGCATTCTGTCTCATGAAGCAAGATGTTCTTTCTTCCCATTTAACAGAAACACATCAATTCATTCTTTCACAAGACCAGATCCCAGAACATGTATTTCTGTACAAACACTAGGCTACAATTCTCAGACACCAGGTGCTGTAAAAGATACTGCTTTAGGATAGTCAAAATTCTGTGCCATCAGAAAGCAATGCCTTCAGCAAACATGTTCTCACTTCAGCTAGAAGTGTATTTAAATGCTTTTATATATTACATTGTTCTCATTTACAGCTGGAACACTTTTTTTTTCTTAAACTAATATTTGAGGGGATAAATGGCTCAACTAACCATTCAAATTGTACATGGAGAAGCGATATGAGAAGTTGGCAAGATTGGTTTCCTGACGGAGAGGTGACCTCTTCACTGGTGCCACAGGCTTGTCTGTATCCAAACTCTGAAAAAGAAAAAAAAAAAAAAGTGCAGAATAAAGTTTGACAAGGAACTGGACACCTTCAAGATGAATGAAAATTAATTTTCTCTAAAAGAAAGTTTTCAAAAACTAGCATATTAAAAACATTATCTTTTTCAGGCCTTAGACTGAAAACATACGTCACTATACCACAGAGACTTAGCTTGAGGTATTCAATGGGGAAAAGATGTTAGACACATTCTGGGTTTTTTTTTTAGAATCAGATGGAGGGAAGCATATTCCAAATGCATTTTTAAGTGGTGTTACATACTAGCTCATTTGAAACACAGACAGATGGCTTACCTGTAACTTCTCTGCAGTGAATTGCACAAGTACCTAAACACATTCAAACTGTGGCACCCCCTCCAAGAAATGCCTCATTAGCTTATGGGCATAATCATGGCACAAGCACACAAAAGCATTCACTGAAGAATTCTATTTTCTTAAAAGGGATTTTAAATTGACTAAATTGAAACACTTTTCTCAATAAGCTTTTCCTGTGAAAAATTTTAAATTGTGAAAGCAAACCCGAGACACTATATGTAGGATAATTTTATTTTTAGGAAAACTAATACAGGTTTAAAAAAAAAAAAGGAGACATCTTTCTACCCAATACATTGAATTGTTGAGTTATGAAGGCTAATATGGGCATATTATTATAATAAATACACCAGCATTTTTGTAAGTAACAAGCAGTAGAGCACTATGATCCAGCTGGTGACCCAAGAGGTACATACCAGGGTCAGAAGCTGCTGCCCCTGGAGTGACAAGTGTTACATGGTGAATCTAGCTCTTGCTGTCCCTGAGGCTCGACAGGCCTGCAGAGGGTTTGAATTTAAGCAATGCTTGTACTGACAAAGCTTTCCTAAAGATATGCTTGGCTGAAAGAAAAGCACTTTCTACTTCCAAAAGAACAAAAGTTTCTCACCTAAGCTTTTTATTTCCATTTTCTATATCTTCACTCAAGCCTTTGTTAAAAATCAAATGCACTTCTCTCCCCCCGCCCCATTTATTTTTGCTGAACTCCCTTCTCTCCTCAGTTTGGCTTGAATTTTAAAAGAAAAATAAAACCACTTTATCAGGAAGTCAATCATCACTCAATGAGAAGCCAGTGATGCAGCCTTGTCTTCCATCAGGTCAAAAAAACCTCTAGTACGTCTGATGGAGCTTACATATTGTCCCACACAGAATAGATAATAACAATAACAACAACAATAATAATCTATCTATAACCCTAGAGGCAGCAGTGAAACTGGAGACAAAGAGGCAAGTTAGGGCTCATTCCTTCAGATTGAACCCATAGACTGCCACAAAAGATTTCCTGCAAAACAAATACGTGCTGGTTAAAAGCATCTAAAATGTGTTTTACTGAATTTAATAATAATTAAGTTATTTCACATCCTTGGAAACACATGTGATACGCTCTCACTATTATCACAGCATATTTTCCACAACATATTATGATGCTAAACTGGCAGTCTGGAGAACTGCTGAAAACTGCAACAGAACCAAAAGCTTAGTTCTGAATGATCATGAGAAGCAAGGTAAGATTTTCGTCATTTAAACTGCCCCATAGAGACAGGTAACTAGAGCAGGATAAATGTTAATGCACTCTGCATCAGTGCCAAACACTGCTCACATGTGCTGCAAATTTTGTGACTACATTTTATAATGCTTTTAGTAGACCAAGAGTTAAAGAAGGCAAAGTGAATTCAAATGATCTCATGAGCATCTTAACAGTTACAAATCTTTTAAAAAGCACTTCCATCTGGAAAGGAATCAGAGTCTCACTTTCAATTCCCCCAAAATAAACATTTAGGAAATCTAAAAAAGAAGTTAAAGTTCAAGGAACACAGAAACAGAAAAACCTTACCTCCTACTGCTCTTACGAGTCCAGCTGACAAAAAGCAACAAATGCTGTGACCACAGGAGAATGCACTTTGGAGCTAATTAGCTCTAATCACTCCTCTTTATTGGGACTTTATTGAGACAGCTGCATCAAGACATGACTACTTTCCAAACAGACGAACTGAGACACAACTAACTGCATTAACTTGTTTATACAAAACCGTATGAGGTCATTTAAAGTTTTGGGGCAAACATAATTTCTCAGTAGTCACAAAAGATACAGGGGCAACTGTCAGGCTACGTTGCAGACTGTGTTGTACAAGAATATGAAAGTGAGAAACAAATAATGTGGGTCCTGCCCTTAACTACCTGTTAGTAGGTTTTAAGACTTTTGCATGGATCAGCACACAAATTGAGACATCACCATAAAGTCGGTATGTCAGTAGTATAGCTGTAAGCCCCAAGTAAAGTATGGTTATATGTCTAGGCTGCTCATACCTGATAAAAAATGCGGCAAAGAACAAAAGGTCTAAGACCAAATACCTATTGTGCTCCCCTGTGAAGATCCTCATCTGAGGTAATTTACAAGGCCTTGGCCTTCAAAATGGTTCCCACTTACCATTAAAAATCCTTTATAGAAAGTTAAAAAAAAAACCAAGAATTACAATATACAGATTTATTTCACACTGTCTTCCATTCATCTCAAAAAGCAGGATTCTTTACTGCCCTGCATGCACAAGTTCAGGAGAAAATAAAAATCTTTTTCCCCTACAGTGCTATCTATATTTAGATCTTGCAGGCAGAGATTTAACCAGAAGATAACAGAGATGAGCCTGAATTTTAAATGCTGTCACATGATTAGCTCAATTTCCCTTTAGTCTTTGGGCAAGATGAAGATGAGAAAAGCTGCCTCCTTCTCTAGCTTACTGAAATTAGAGGTATCATACCTTTGTTTAAGTCTACGTGACAGAGGGAGAGGATGAAATACATTACTCGGGAGGGGCCAGCTCACACGGCTGAAGAAAACATAGTAGGCAATCATAGAGAAATGGCCTATCACCTGAGGAGTCTGGCATATCATACAAAAAGCAAGAGCTGCTTGTGAAGGAAAGGAAAAGCACTAGAAAGAAGGAAGCATCCTATCCACTGCCTCTCTGATGCAGAAGGAGTATTCTGGTATTATGGTGAGCCCTCTAGGGTGTATCAGGGCACCCTACCATGTCAGCAGCAGCAACATTCACAATTTCTTGTTTCTTATTGCTATTGAGGAACAACAAATAAATGCTGCCATAGCTGGGCAATGTCCAACCATACGTTTGGAGATATAGCCTACCTCTAACCAGCTAAAGTCAGTGTTTCTCTATATACATGAGGACAAAATACCAATTCCATAGTTGTCAGAAGGAATCATACCCTTTGGGAAAAGCCACACTAACAGGTTGTGAAAAATTAACAACTTTGAAATGGGGAAAACAAGACAATTTAGAAACCTTTAAAGAGTACTGAGCTGGTTACATGCTACAGTATACCTTGCTGCAAGTGGTAGTGGTAAGTAGTTAGCATCCAACTAAAAAGAAATACTTAACACTTATAAAGGATTATTCTGTGAGGTAACTGAAACCTCCCTAACCTGTGTGAGCTTGTCCAGTTCCCCCAGCCAGGCCCCGAACATCTTGTCCAGATCCTGATCTTCTTTATCACTATCTTCTTCTGCACCATGGTCAAGTTCTTCATCAGATAATTGCTCCATCTGAAAAAAAATTGAGGTTTGATACTCAAATTGTATCAGTGTCTAAGAAAACTGCTGTCAGCTACTAAGTTTCTGAAAAAGTGTTCTGAAGACAAGGCACTTGTCTGTCCATAAGATTTATAAAAATTGCATACATTCACAGTTTATTATCCTGCCCACAAGTAAAGAGTTAGCGTGAAAGCTGCAACAGATAATAACAAACACCATTCTTGCAGATCACTTTTGTCAGAACCATGCAGAAAAAGATGAAGAACAGACTCCACTATTTAATACACCACCAGAAATTATTTCATGCTAGCCTTGCATGCGCATTCATTGCCAGCTATCGTTGGCAAAGTCTATTGACTTTACATTACAAAAATTCAACTCTTGTCCAAGGAATTCAGCTGACCACAGTTAAGCAACACCATTCAACCCACAGGACGTACAGTCTCACTGCACTGCAAATAGCTGACTCTACACATCTGTAAACAGAAATGCTTAAACAGGCCACACAGAATGCCAGCAATACATCCCATGAGACAGTTTACAGCTTAAATCATAGACACTGTCCAGATCACTTCAGTGATACTGCACAATTTTTGCCCAACAAAGAAACTCCTCTCTGGAAGCAAAGAGTCATCATTACAGCTAGCAGACCCTCCTTCATTCAAAAAATTTGAGTGACCATGATAAAGACTTAACATTCTCCAAAGGTTATCTGTTATCACCTCAAAGGAAATTAATCTTTTGTTAAACAAGCCTCTATTCTCTTCCCCAAACATATCCTCCAAGCCCCTTAAACGGAGCTAAGACACACATGCCTTCCTGGGTATATCCACACTGTTATACTCAAGATCTGGTTCAGAATTAAAATTTACATACTTGGGGGGGTTGGGGGGTGGCAACATAGGCAACAATTTGGGAGTGATCAGGTGCTACAGAAGAGTAAATCCTAGAGATGCGCTACAGAATGTCCAGGGAGACGTAAGAACAGATCGCCACCAAGAACTACACAAAAAATTCATAGTGCTGTACAGTTTGATTTGGTCAAGTCACGGACTACATAGCAATTTGCTACATAGCTTTCAAAAAGCACCAGTTTATGTTTCATAGATTTAAAAGCAAACTTTCTAAATGCTAGTTTTCAGGAAAAGACAAATCTTGGTCTGAAAGATACCACAGTGCTGCAGAGTTGAACTGATGACAGATGTTAAGGAAGATGATATAGGTCGTCTTGGAGAAAAACTGTTAAATCTGTTTTTTCCTTTATATGACAATAGTTCATGCAAAAAACATCCACTATTTAAAAACAGCCTTTCCTTCCGTTTACATATTGCTTATAGTTCACTTTACCTTGATAAACTGATTGGGGAACAGGAGACTTCAGAGGTGCCAACGCCTACCACAGATGCAAGACACAGCCATTCAGTTGTTCTAGGCAAAGCCACTGCAGTGTCCTGCTGAGATTTTAATTTTGTGGGAAAGCAAAATGCAGCTGCTTACCTTAAAAGCGGCAATAATACTAAAGCTAACCTGGCATGGCATACTGCACCGAGCAAACGCTCAACAGACTAAATTCACTAACTGAATCTCATTTCTTCCCTGGAGTGCTAGAAGTACTTGACAGGACTCAAGTGTTGGAAGGGGAGGAAGTTCTTCCTGAAAAATCTAAGAGTGGTGCTGAAATCCAAAAAATGCCGATATGCTTATGTAATCAAGTTGCATCCTTCCACCAAGACTGCACCAGTTTTTATGTTCTGTAAGTCTGGCATGCCTCCCCCTGCAACATTCCTCCCCATGATGTCACCTGAAAAGCCCTTCCATACAGAAATGGAGACAGCAGGGTAGCAGCAACTTATACTTTGCCTGAACTTCTGCAAAACAAACAGAAGCTGGATTCCACTTTCACACCCCTTCAAAGCTTTGCTTTCCTACTCCTTAGGCTTTTACATGGACCGGAAATTTTGTAAATTCCCCAAAAAACACATTATACTTAAGGTGATATGGTCAAACTGCTGTAACAGTGTTTGCATTTGACAACATAGCATTTCTCAAAGTCCAGATATGCTTGAAGTAAAGAATTTTTATTTGAAGGCTAAGGGAAGCTATTAAAAGCACGTCTTAGGAAATATAACTGTGAACTGGCAAACCAAATAAATGGAAAATGTGACATAAAACAGACAGAGCTCAGTCTTTACTGATAGTTTACACTGCTAGCCTTTCCCTCTTGGAGCTATTTTTGCCACTTACTCTACAGTGAGATGGGCCTTGTTTTGCAGTGCATTCATTCTACGGCATGGTTTGTAACTCATCCTTTCATTAAGAGAGGAGCTTGTTCTTTTTACTAATATTTCTGAGGATCTGTGCTGTGGAAAGAAACCAGTATTCTCAATTTTCCATAAACTGTTGCTTTAGCTGTTTTAACTTGGCATCAGAGACACTGCTTTAGTTCCAGTTACTCTGAAGACAGAATTAGCAGCCTAAAGAAAACTTTTACAAGTAAAGTACTGTTGTGTCAGCAAGTCTGGCACTAAATCCTGTAGTACTTGCCAGCTCCTTGTAGTCCCCACCCAAGCTTCCTAACGTCAGCTGCATTTCCTATGAGCCTGTCAACGTTTGCTTCCAAAAGGCACACAGAGGATACTGTCTCACTTAAGAAACAGCTAATATTAACTTACTAGTTTGGTAAAAAGGATCTCTTAGCACAAGCTCCACTACTGGAAGGAAATATCCCCAAGAACATTAATTAAAGGATTAACTCAATAAATTAAGACAGAGACAAAATGCTCAGATAACAGTATCTGAACTTTTTGACATAAGAACTCAAAACAGTAACAATTCAAAAAGAGTGCACATCCCAATTAAAAAGCTTTACATTTCCCTTTTTACAGCCCATTTTCTTTCTCTCTGTTGTTGATCACAGCAAACATGCACCACACTTTAGCAAATCATGACCTAACTGGGACTTATCACACCTTTCTAAGGACATAACATTTTTATTTATAACAAGAAAGAAAAATAGCATAAGTTTATGGGTTGGTTTTTTTTTTTGTGTGTGGTGTTTTGGTTTTTTTTTAAAGGAGTCATTTAGAAATAAATTAGGTCTAAGAAATGGAAAAGGAATAACTGTTCTAGTGTGACACCATAAAGCTGCTTACATTTTTAAAGCATTTGCAAGGTAGCAAAGTAGCAGCAAGTAGCTGCTAGCTCATACCAGCTGAAGTGCCAAAGTAATTTTAGGATTCAAGTTATTTTTCAACACTTCACCTTCTATTTTGTTCAAGTGCCTGTTAGACTGGAACTTAATGATAACAAGCAGCATCATTCTGGGATACCTAGACAAAAGTAAGATACCAACATGGTATAGTCTTACAAATACAAGTAAGGCTTCATGCACTAAAGTGTGGTCTATGTACTATTTCATTATCCACTATGGACTGCATCAGTCAACTTTATCTGTTTGAAATGCTATTTAAACAGGCAGACCCATAATTGCTGTAAGTCAACTGTCTAATTTCAAAACAGTTCATTAGGTTTGTTTACCTTTAAATGCATGAGGCACAGTATTCTAATATTATTTTATGAAAAATTACTGAGGCTTTCATTAGAAATCACCAGTTGCAACATATAATCATAACCTACTATTTTAATTGCATTGTAAGGAAAAAAAACCCCTTACCAACAATTTAGAAAAATTTAGAAAAAAAGAAACATTTACTCTTTCAAGCCGATTCTTACGCAAGCCATTGTAGCTTTTACTATGCCAGAGGAAGCATGAGATTATGTGATATCAAAACACATGAGGAAAGATGAAAAGCCCAAGAACAATGCTTCAAATATATCACTGACATATTTCAAGACAAGGCACCATTCCAGAATTCTGAAACTTAACAAATTGCTGTCATCAGAAAGTAACAGATTTGGGACAGAGGTAAATTATAATCAAAAGTGTCTTTCACTGAGACCCCATTCTGCAGACTTGCACTTTAAGATGGTAGTTCCCACCTTAAATCAATCCAGTTCAAGACAATAGGAAATTTTACTATATTAACAATATTTCCTTATAATGAAACACTCTGGACTGAAAAAGTAGTTGTAAAAGAATCAGACTGCAGGATTTGTTTACACCACACTTAATTAATGATGGAAAGATTATCAAAGAAACAAAAATAGAAATCTGAGTCCAACTGGAAACACCAATGTGCTTAAAGGGTCAGTACAAGAATGTGTTTATTCACTATAATTCCAGAAGCACTATAATAAGCATTTTGATCTAGAGACACTTAAGTATGTTCAAAGGCAACTGACAGCATAAAACCCCAAAATGAAAACAAACCATCTTTCTTTCAGGCAACTGATGTTTTCACCCTAACCTCTCTTATTAAACACAAGCTTATACAAGCTCATGCTTGTTACTGAACCAAGGATTTTCTTCCTTAGTTACAAATCTATTACAGGGATGCAGTAGACAGTACACAACATTCAAAAGCACCATCTGAACAAGTAACTGGGTTTCTGCATTTTAATATCTAGCCTCAGGAACCAAAAGGAACTATATAGCATACTCTGGTTTGGAAAACATACTCTTTGGAGCTGGTTTGGAAATGGGAGTTCTTCCATTTGTGATTATCCATGTGTCATCATGCCCGTATCCATTTCTGTTTAAGAAGTTGTGTATGACAGAACACTACAGTACTATACCATATGAGCACATAAGTATAGTGTGCACACATAAATACAAGAATAAGAATCTAGCAGGTATTCACTTGACTGCTTAAAGAAATCAGGTTACTTACACAGAAAAAAAAAATTGAAATGCTTTCACAAAACGGACAGCCAAAGCTCAGATCCACATTTCTACACATTTTCGTGAAGTTCTGGTAAATACTGAAAGGCAGCTTGAGCACATAAATTATTTGTTTCATATTAATACTCTGTCTGCATGACAGGGACCAATCAAATCCAGCATGTTTTTTCAGTAAAGAATAAGAAAGTCTTATGCTATAACTGACACTAAC